GATGCGACCCGCTGAATATAAATTGGAACAATTACCATCGGGATGTTTGAACTCATAGCGTCCTAAACTGAACTGCCTGTAAAATTGGAGGGACTAATAAAATAGTAAAGATCAACTAAACCCTTTCTGTAAAACGCAAAAAAAGAAGTGGATAGAGTACTGATTGTTTATTAAATAAAGAAGGGTAATTTGCTTCCAAATTCCGCCGGAACGGTTCGCGCAACTTTGAACGAGTTTCCGCCAACTTTCACGGTAGACGGAATATTATTTCGTAAGTACCAAAATGAGTACTTTAAATCCCACGCATAGCATTCTTAGAACAAGGCTAAAAAGGGAGTTTTGCGGTATCTCTCAGAAGAATTACGAAAAGATCTCAGAATCTCGGTCCTGAACTCAAAATAATGGGGCTCTAAAGCTTAATTACTCAAAGTAAATTATGAGGAAGAATTTGTTAAATATTTTTAAAAAACAATTCCTGACTTCACAATTGAAGAAGAAATGAAAGAAAATAAGCTAATAGAATTTCGAGCTAAAATAAATAAAGATGAATACGGAAATTCGAATTTGAAAATTCAGAAAGAAGCTCAAGAGACTGGACTCTTACTTTCAATGCTGACGGAAGTAAGAGCAGCGCCATACCACCAATAGATAAAATTATTACCTAAATTAAATTTGAGGAATGGTGATATTATATCATATTTATTTTTATTTGAAAGCGAAAAGAATACAGATGGATATGAAAGACTGATTTTCAACTTTACTCACATTGTTACCTTCAGAGATACTAAAACTCATAGCAAAGGAATCAGAAGAATGTTTTGTGAGGATTATATGTGCATTACATGTTGTGCTCAAGAGATTTAAAATAAATCTCGAAAGCTTTCAGAAAAAAAAAAAAAAAAAAAAAAAAATGTTTTGCACCAAACACAAATGTGGAGAGACTGATGTGGGGAATTTATATCCCCAAAGTTATGCATCCTATCATACTGTTTGCTACAAAGCATTTGTTAAAATTTCTTATATAACGTTCCTTTACTGTCTGATTTGTTACTTAATTGCGAGGAAAGAAGTTTTGCGGTTCGAGATGTTATGTTTAAAGGCTAGATAGACTCAGCGTATAACAAATCGCACTTCTTTTCAAAAATGGGTTTCAAACAAACGTTTTAAGACCAAAATTTATTGCAAACCGTTTTCCATCTTTTATGATTCCCTAAGCAACGATTATCTCCTTAGAAATAAAAAATGTTATTGAACAAATACACATTGAACATTATGACCATATTTACATATGTTACCGTGAAAGACCGAAATTGGAGAATGTCAACTTTCACCGGAGAATATCAACATTCACCAAATACGTCGCTGAAAGATCGAATATTACACTACATTCTTGTATATTCGGACCCTCACCGGTGTATGTCGACAATCACAGATATACTCTGGTGAACGTCGAAAAGAGAGGTTATAAAGTGCCATAATAGTTTAAGTTGTTGCAATAAATAAGATTTGAATCACATAATTTAGTAAGTTTTTATTAATGTTATTTTATTTTCTCATTTAGAACGTACTGTATAATTAAGTAAGTTTTTAACTTCTATTATTTTCCTTTCTCATTTTGAATGTATTGTGTGTTTTAGGTTCTCATGTTCTTAAGTTCTTATTTCACGTCTCAAGTGCATTTATTCGCGACTGAATTTCGAAGAAGAAAATATAATATTGTTATATGTTCAACATTCACCATTAGTACATGGTGAATGTCGACATTGACCGGTGTAAGTCAGAAATAAGAGTATTTGGAAAATATTTCGGACATACACCAAGAGACTATGTGAATGTTGACATTCACCGGTGAAAGTCGACATTCTCCAGATTTCGGTGTTTCACCATAACATATACACGAAGCCTCGTAGCAATTATCTAAACGAATATACGACTTTAAATCCCACCTGAAGAGTAGAGATCTGAATTTACGAATATCTTCTCAGTCCAGTGGCATGAATCATATTCTAGTATGGTCCAAGTCGAAAAAACGGGACTCGGCTATTTCTGGATGAAAAGGATATCCAGAAATAGCTGCAGATTTCTACACAATTAAAAGCATATACACATGACTTCCATATTCATCACGGATTAATAGCTAGTTTTCTCCATGCCTTTTTCTTAGGTTTTTAGCTCTCGATTTTCTTTCTTTCTCTCTTATTATGAGCCTTTAAGCCTGTAACGCATTTGCTTCAAATTTTATTGAATAATTTTCTTCCTTTTTTCCTTTTACAGGCTTTTTTCTCTCTGTCCTTTGTATATATACAATTATGGTTTAGAAGTTCTGAGGAAGAGCCTGAGCCTTCATCTGGAAATTACCGTATTTATGCGAATCTAATGCGCCATCGAATCTAATGCGCATCCCCATTTTAAAACTTTAAATAATAAAAAAATTGTTTGTCGGCGAATGTAATGCGCATCAATGATATGAGAATTTATTGAATCTTATTTTATACAACAATGGATTTGTATATAAACTATCAATTAATGGTTTTGATAATTTTTATTTAAATTTAGATACCATATTTTATACAACAAGGATTTATACATAACAGTAGCAGAACATAGATTTAACCTATTAGTGGGCTATTGTCATGTTAAACAATCATTGTTAATTAGCCACCGTATATAGTATTTTGTTATTAGTACCGTATATACGGTACCTATCGTAAAATATGAGCATGAAATAAATCGTAACATTTCTATCTAGCTTAAAAGTTTCTACAATCAGTGCTTAATAGTAAACGTCTTTTATTCACTAATGTTTTCATCACTGGAATCCTCGCAGCTCTCTTCGTCAGAAGCAGATTCATTTCTTCTTTCATCATCATCGTCATCGTCATCCTCGGCGTTCCAGAGCACGTCATCGTCACTGCCATTCAATGAATTTGAAATGCAGCGTTTCTTGAAAGATTTTAACAATCAAAGATCTTCAAAGATCTACAAAGATCTTCCTTGGGAGGGCCAGTGAATTTTTTCTACTAGCTTTAGTTGCAAACAGTGCCAATTCTGTTGCCGCCACAAGCGAACATTGCTCTCAGCTACGTTGAAACTCTCCCTGCCTTTCTATTGCCATTTTTTTCAGCATAAAGAATTACTTTACGTTTGAAAGTAGCTTCATATGACATTCTTCTCTGTTTGCCCTCCATTTCGTGACTACGTGCTCTACAGTTTGTATCCTCTATGCAATAATGTGTCAACGGTAAATGTAGTCGAGAAATTTGGTTGACGTCATCGGCGAACTTTGCACTCGAATCTAATGCGTCATCGAATCGGCCAATTTTGAATACTACATTTGGCCAAAAACGATGCGCATTAGATTCGCGTAAATACGGTATCTTAATCTATGTTAATTTTCAGTATATTTTTTTAACACTTTTAAGCACATTCTTGCACTTATTTTATTTTATTTTAAATTAATGCCAGTCTTTTACTGCCCATTCCTGATCAATACTTTTAAAGATGAGTGCCCTTCATTTTTCAACAGATTATAAAATATGCAAATTATTTAAAAATGTTTCTAAGAACAAATTTCGCAGAATAAAATGAAGTTAATATAACTCCAAAACAGAGTTACAGGTTTCAGGCATTGAGGCCCAGACGTGTAATCAGAAACTAGCCTACTTCTTTCTGCAAATCTACATCAGGCTGAAACAATTAGGTGAATTGTATATAAATAACTTAGGTTTTAACCAAAGTTTTTATTGCGATGGCTAAGTATAGTTTAGGTGTAAATTATTTATAATTAATAAAAACCTATCAAAAATGGAAATGAGCAACGGACTTCAATTTTCGTGTAGATGGTGTATGAAAACTGTAAGAGATGTATGATAGCATATTAAACTGTAGATAAAATTAAGAAATCTGTAAAAACCACAGCAGACTAAAGCAAAAGCAAGACGATTAATGAATAAAATAGATGCATTTTTACCAACATTGTAGATGATAATAAATTCTGAAATGAGCAATATGAGATATGAAACATCAAGACCATTAATGCATTACAAACATGTCTTCTGCAGTTGCAGTTAAGAATTTTGTGAACTTTTTAAACTAGAGTTCAGTAATTCAGTGGACATCACGCTTACAGTCTCAATATTTCCACAATATTTATCTTTTTCGAAAGTTACAATTTATTTAACACCACACATTCAGTGTTTGTAAAAACTAGTACTTTTTAACTTTCTAAGTTGGACCTTCCCTTAATTTTTAAAATTTCCATTTTTGATTATCTTTACTTTTATTTATTTATTTTCTAATGGCGGGCACTTGCCTGTAATGACATTGGCCACCACTACGGCCACTACCATTTTTTGTGGAGGCACTTAATAGGCGGCCACCGTTACCTCTTATGAAGGGACAGACAAATTTTACATTCATGCCTTCTCCGGGATTCGAACCCGGGGCTTTCGGTATCGCAGTCAGGCGTACCATCTGAGCGGCCTTTTTATTTTTATAAAAGACTTTTAATAATAACTATAAATAAAAATTCTTCTGTTAGTAGATTTAATGTTATAATTCATTTAATTTATAATTGAGGACTAAATTAAAGTTGAATTTTCAGTAACAATAAAATACTTTTAAGTGTTTAACTGAGTCGAGTTAATTTAGATTTCATAAAATGCTTCAAATTGCTATGTTTTTAAAGAGCAAATTTCACGCAAATTATTTTTCATATTTTAAGATTGTGTTTTCCTCCAGTAGATTGAGGAAATTTGTTACTGCGATGTTCCATAATCACTCATCGCACTATTACCCTTGAAAGAAGGGACAAGTGAAGTATGGAATGTATGGTAATATTATGGTACATAGTAAATCATTAAAAATTCTGAATGAAGTTATGGGATTGATAGCTGTGTAATTAGATAGTTATCAGCTTCTGGGAAGTTACATGTGACGATACCGTTCTTTTTAAGTCATCAAATTCGATAGTAGATAAGAGAAGATAAAAACCTACTTACTTATGAGAAACGAAAAGTAAAACAAATCTTGTCGGAGAATTTCTTAAATGCGAACCTTTTAGAACGGTGTCGTCTTTCCAACTGTCTTGTTGTCGGTTTAGTCATAAAATCACTTGCTGTTACAACCAGTTTGCACTACTAAAAATTTGCCGTCGGCAGCTGCATCTGTGCTTTAAATACACCGGGGATACAAGATCGTTCATTTAGGTTTTCAAGTTCATTATCCATGTGAGTTGCAAATAAAACAGAATATTCGTTTAGTGACCTGTTTTAGAAAGCTGATGTCACTGACACGGATTCCTAGCTAGTTGTTTCAGTAATTAAATAAAAAATTCTTCATGCGGTAGGTCCTCGTGATAAGGAAGCGACACCACAGACTTGAAAGGTCAATACTTACTTCCTTAAGATAAAAGGAAAATTTCGAAATTTTACTTTTTCTCACCTTATTTATTGTTATGACGCTAAGCAATCTGCTTTCATTGATGAGAAGATATTAGTTGCAATTTGGCTTATGGTGAATAATCGAATATTTTCTCTCAGGTTTCACATGTTCTATTTTTAATGGCGAATATCCATCCCACCTCAAAAGCTTTAACTGATTATATGAAATTGTACTTTTTTAAAAAATTCCTTCGTGAAATATTGGTCAGAGGTTCACCTGAATCGGAATATCTTGGATTAAACTATTGAAACATCTGCTGATATCTCCAGAAATTGAATGTACTTGAGAGTTGGTGGTTCGGGAAGTTTAAGTTATCTTTTCCAGTTTTAATGTTAGGAGGAGATATTTTCAGCAGCTCTTAGATATGAAATCTAGAAATTTAAATTTTTCAAGTATTGCTGTAATTTCTCTCATATGCTGTTGTGTTGTGGTGGTCATCTATATCTGTCTAATAAACTGAAGATCAGATTTTAAGATAAAGGTTCAATTATTAAAGAGAGAATCATGAATTCTTCTATAATGCTTTGTTCCAAAAATCTCACTGCCGTACATTGTCGTCTAGACTAAAGGGGGTGGACGAAATCTTAATGCCAACTTCGACATGGGAACTGAAGACAGCCTATTTTTTTCTCCATTCGCCTTTTATGAGAGAGAGGATGTTGGGAATAAAAATATTGCTCCCGTGTTTTGCTGCGGTGTGATGGTTAGCATTTCATTCTGAAAATTTGGAGATCCGGATTCGATTCTTAGCTGGAGGAGGTTTAAAGAAATCCTGCTGAAAACCTCAGAAAACCGCTCTCTGTAAAGTGGGCCTTTTTAAAATTAATTTCTAGTCCTAATCGCTAGCGAAATGAAGGCTTGTTTTAATCTTTTGAATCTCTCTTTTTTTCCTCATTTGTATGTAAATACAGTAAAGTCGTCTATGTATGCTACTTAAATTCCCTTATTTATAAAAGACGACAGTATTTTAGATCTATGTGAAAAGGTTGGAGTGTCACACAAATCGAAAGGCAGCTCAAATTGATCATTATGAAAGAAGAAGATAATGTTTACTTTTTTGTTTATATTATAATAGAGACTATTAAGGTTTTTCGGTGTAGGAAATATGTGATATCGCTTATGTTTCAGCTGTCAGCTTGATGTGTTAATCGTTGTACCACAATGGCATGTGCAGGAGAAATGCTTTGATTTCTTTTACAACATCCAACATGAGAGCTCTATCTTAAGATTAGGAGTGCCAAATAGATGAACAATCTATCTACTAGATCTTTAATCAGTGGCGTAGCTAAAGTTTCCAGCGCGCGGGAAAACTGAAGAATTTGCGCCTCTTTCTGTGTGCCGCGAATTGAAAACATTTCATTAAAAGATTTCGTAGCATCAATTTGTCGCCCCTTGGATGCTGTGCCCGGGGACAGATGTCCCCTCTTGCCCCACCCTAGCTACGCCACTGAGTAGTGGAAGAGTCTAGCGATCTGTTATTGTAACATAATTTACCATAATTTGGGTGTATTTTTTTCTCTTTTACATTTTCTGTCGGAAAGGAATATTCAAATAGCCAACCACTACTTAGTTCTAGCCTTTCTTCAGTTTGTTTATCAACGATACCCTTACAATAAATCGTAAACACCTAGCCTGAGAGATATAATTTTTTGAAACACAAATATGCATTTCAATATCTGTAATTTTTTATTTAATGGAAAAGGATATTATTTTCTCTTTTCTGATGTATACTTATTTCTGACATTAAACTCGCGCACCATGTAATGTTTTACGTAACATAATAGAGTGTAGCCTGTAATGCTTGAAGTTATGTCCCTAAATATGTATCTGCTGATCCCTTTTTTTCCGGCAGGTTGACATTAATCCATTAGGCGCCCAAGCCCTAGGTCAGATATCATGTCGACAACGAGAAATAACAAGAAGTTGAAAAGCTTTGCTGGAAACCATGTTCTTTGTAGGGTTTATGTTTATTTTAATTAACATTTATTTTAAGTTTAAACTATCTTTCCTGTCAAGCCTTACTTTCTCCTGGAATTGCCAATGCCAGAGTATGTAAATTTTAGTAGAACGCGAAAGGATTCAAATTATCAGCGGAGTATTCTGCGTTAATAGAAAGGAACGAGTTCGCAGTTGCTTCTTGCTTCACGAGTGAGGGCTAGTTAGAATGAATAACACGCGTTTCGGTCTGTGTGCTTGCCTCGGCAATATTAATCTTTCACGTACATCAGAGTTTGTGAAATTATCGGTATTTTAGAACGAGGTGAGTTAGCTACGTTTAGAGAGCGTGTAGTTAGTCACTTGTATATCTTTTCAGTTTCTTATTTTTATTTTCCGCAGGGTCGGCGTATTTTGTGGAGCGTCAAGTGCCGCATTGTGAATTCAAAATTGAATAAAAGGGATTTAAACCCTTCTCAAGACTTTGGTCTATTTCCAGTTCTCAGCAGTCACCACTTTGTTGCGTGCAGGTTGGAAGCGCGCAACTTTACATCTTCATCTGCGATTTGTGCAAAAAAACGGCTGTAATTTATTATAGGAAGTGCTTTCGAGGACCCTTTCCCAACAACGACAGTAGACTAATCGGTCGATAACTCGAGAGTTCTTCAGACGATTTTCTAGGCTTAGAAATGAGGAAAATGCTTTCATGGTTCCAAGTCTGCGAGAAGTATGATTTTGTGAGACATGCATTAAAGATACTTGTCAGTTTACAGATGACACAGTGTGGGGTGATTTTTTATAATTATGTCTATAATGCAATTACTTTCAGAAGCCTTTTCTATGCTGGTGTAATTAATTATACCCAGAATTTCCCTAGGTATAGTTAATATTATCAGGTGTTTTTTGCTGGGAAGCAAAGTTTATCCAATCTTGAAGCGATTTCTCGATGTGCTGATCTGAGTTTATAGTTCCTGGAGTATCATTCGGCTTTATGTGTTCCATCAGATGACCTGCAAATGCAGTAGTTTATCCTGATTTGAGTATGCTAGACCGTGGGGATTTTTAATTTGACGGGCGATGCTGAACTCACGCTTCAAACTTCCAGCAAAATTTTAAAATGAGCCGTCTTCAAGGTTTAAGAATCAATTTTTGTACACCATTTTTCGCATCTGTGGTTATTATTGAGGAATTTGACCTTTCTTGTGAGCCTATGTATGTCCTTTCTGAGGACAAGCTCCCATGTTTTGTAGTAATATTTTCGGACTGTATTCCGTTCTGCGATTATCCCTGTATGCGCAGGTAATTTTCCATGCGTTGGCTATTCGATTGGCAAAAGTCGTGACTTGTAAGTTTCTGCAGCTTGGAAGTGAAGTTAAGAATAAGTATTAATATCACTTACAGATTTTAAGTTGCCAACATTAAATGCGGAGGTCAAGACGATATTGGGGATATCACTCAAGATCCAAAAACCTCACCTTAAGTACACCATCAATTAACTAATTTGCTTTCTGGTGAGAAATACGAAAAGAAGTAAAAGTAAAGATCAAAATCCTAACGTTAGTTTAAATAAGAGCCTTACAAACTGATTTAAGTTTTGTATAAATTTTCAGCATTTCTATAAATTAACAATGCTTTTAGATACATATGATATAATTTTATTGTTCACAGAATCTCAAATGCTATTGATTGCAGATTGCGCTACAAAAATCCGTAATTTCCTGTACTTTGTTATCCATATGTACATTCTATATGTAGCATACAGTGTGTGTTGGTATATTATGCAATATAAATAAAACATAAAATAATTTTGATATTTTCTGTGATGTTTATTAGTAAAGATGTAAGACACACAGACGCACACAATAAGTTGGGGATTTTTTATAGCTTTTCGAAAGTTACTTGGCATGATTACGCTGCTGGAAAAAATATTGGCATCGATCTTCGATTACCGAAAATAATTCGCAAAAGGTTTTCCCTTCTGCAAAAAGCGAGTGCAGCAAAAACAATGTTCAGCACCAAATAAAAGTCTAGGAAAAAACCAATATAAAACTGGAAATGAATCAGTTGTCCGGGAGATGTCATCAAAAGGCTAAAGGTTACGAAGAGGAATGGACTTTAAATTAGCTATATTTAAGAAGAGAATGGTTTTAAAAACTCTGAATTTGAATTGAACTTAAAAATTGTTTTAAAACTAAACTGGAAAGACAGGTTTACGGAAATTAAAGATGGAGCTGAAGAACTGTTCGAATCCCATGATGGAGAACTGACACATGAAAAAGCTAGTGTAAGTGAAACTTAATAAAAAAATTATAAGAATCAAGACCAAGCACATTTGTGGAAGATGAGAATGTTTAATTTTTGAGGGAAGGTTTCGTTATGATTCTGCTCTAATTGAGGAAAATAAGACTCTAATTTTGAAAAGATACCCCAATTAACAATTATTCTTCTCTCACCAAGGTTTTAAATTAATTTTTATTAAAATTACAGTACTTTTTTTTTCAACTGATAAATTAGACAGATGTAAAGAGAGGTAGCCTTTCACATTTGTCAAAAATATATCAAATTTAGTTAATAATTTTAAATTTAAGCTACTTTCTCTTAGCATTTTTATAATAATTCCATTCTAGTTTGCATAGATGGAGCTGCAGTCGTTGTTTCCTCTTTTATATATTTATTTGAATATATTTTATATAATTACAAAGCAATCGAGGGTTATCTGCTTAAGGAGAGAAGTCTCCTTGAAGGACATTTTAAGAGAAACTGTTTTGTATTCAGATTACATCCAAAATAGTCGCCGATGATTCCTTGCCACCAAATTCGCAGCCGCTGATAGCGTAACTCCTTGATGAATTTCAACAACAGACTTTTCAAATGCTACGATAATAAAACTGCTGCATCTCAACGCCACTGTTCTTGAGACAAAATTCAATATTCACGTTACTCGTAGGGTAAACTACAAAAATTCCATGCAGTCAGCAGAGATTTGAAAGTCAGGTCTAATTGCCAAGTGTTAAGCGGTTTTACTGCCCATCCGCTGGTGAGTTATTTATTTAGATTTTTTTGTACTCAAGGTTAAGTTTAGGTTAGGTTAGGTTAGGTTATCTGAGTATGGCAAAGCACACAAGGGTTATCTGCCTAAGAGGAGGAATACCTTCGTGGAAGGCTTAAGTAAGGTGGCTCGTATTCACATTACACACGGGGAAAATCTCAAAAACCCACCATGTAGCCAGTCCGTTTGGAGCTCGAGCACAGGTATTCAGCAGTCCTTAACCGCCAGTATTCAGCAGTCCTTAACCGCCCGACCACTGGTGGGGGCCTCTTGTATTCAAAATAAGTATTATTAATAAAATATTTGTTGAAGTTCGTTTCATTTTTTGTTTATTGAAACAACTATCCTAAGAGAAATATTTCTTACTTTTAGAAAAGTTTTACCACAGGCGATAACGAAAATGTGTTTTTCTAGGGGGAAATATCAAATTGGCCCATGTATATATTTCTAGAGGAAACTGTTTGGCACTTATTGTACTTAAACAGAAACGATCCATTTATTTATTTAACTAAATTTTTTAAAGCTTAAGTGACGAATTTTCGACATCTCGAAATGCATACAAATTTTTTGCAACCAAAGTCTGTCTAAAGTTGAATATTGCCTAAATTTAAGTAGCTTCGAGCTGAACGAATAGTGAAATGTTTTCGTGCAGATAGTGAGCTGATGTGAAATATGCTTTAAACAGAGCGATTTATGTTATCTCATAACAGCAAGGTAAGGTAAATCAAACTAATAATTCCACATGAAACTACAGTTTTTGTTTTTCTTCCTCCCTAAGTAGAGAAAACTTTCCAGGTAACGATGATTTCCTTCTTGTTATGAATACGGCAAAGCGCACAATGGCTCTCTACTTAAAGGGAGGGATGCCTTCGTGGAATACTTTATAAGTGAAAATGGCTTGTATGTACATTTGTTATGTATTAATTGTTATTAATTTCAAGCTTAAGTTATTTGCTTACTTATTTAGTTTTGATCTGTAATTGAAGTTATTAATTTTTGCTTTAGTTTGTTGAAAGTTGGTTGTAAGTTTAAAGTGTAACTTTTGTAAACTTTAAATTTAGGTTTGCTTGCTTTAAAAGTTTTCTTAAGTTGAATTTGTTTAATTTTAATTTGAGTTTAGGGATTTAAGTTTTACTTGGTTTTTGTATTTGTTTGTTTCTGACCCTTAAGGCTGTTTAACTTTTAACTTTAATTATTTGAAAGTTTTGTTGTTGCACTTTTGGTGTGTTAATTTTAATTTTCATTAAGGTAATTTAATTTTACCCCTCTTTCTATTAAAGTTTATCGAATTCATATTTTCTGACTGGTGGTAAGGTCAATCAATTGTAAATGATACTCAATCTGGATAATGAATACGAATACTTATTTCTTCTGAAGAAACAACTTATAATGTATGTATTTCGATAACTGAACTTAATTGTTAATTTTTATGTTTTATTATTTATGTTATTGTTTTATTTTTATGTTCACTCTGATAAATACACGAATTGTTCTTGAATATGATTTACATAGTAAAGATGTCGTTTGCACAAACTGAAAATGACTTATGTTATAGCGTTCTATACTTAATATAAAACACATTGTACGCGAGAAAAACCATGAAAACCTCTAACCAGATAGCTTGTTTATCGGTTCAGATACTGCTTTCGGTGATATTAGTCTGGTCCTGGTGGGCCAAAAACGAATGGAATGAAGATTAAAAATGAGTCTATTTAGTTATGATTCAGAATGCATCCATTTTGGGGTATAGTTTTAAATCCATTTGAAGGTAACCTATAGATATGTTTTGAAACTTGATTTCAAGACAAAGTGGTTAAGAAAAATAAAAATTAAATTATATCTCATTAAATGATTTTGTATTAAGAACTGCGTCCGTTAACTTACCTAAAACCTCGGAATTATCTCATCTGTATCTATCTGTATCTACAGAATTCCAAAACATCATTCTTTATAATTTTTACCTTAAAAACCTCCTTACAAAAGTTCTGTATAAAGTTCTAAACGATCACTATTACTCATTTACAGAGTATATTTGTCAGCAATTTTCCTCTTTTTGGTGCTAATAATTTTAACTTTAAAAAAGAGGAGAGGGAGAATAAATTACATAGAAAAAGTGATATCTATAGTTTAAAAAATGACTACCGAAACAGTTGTAAAATTTGTACTCGCTCGAGCTAACTCACTTTTGAGTAAAGGGCTATTTAAAAATTACTCTCCGAGTTCATGGCCCTCAGACTGTATTATATTATTGATAGATGGGTTAGTTCCATAAAAAAATAGCGATAAAAGGCAAACTATTGCAAAACACAAGTAAAATAAAAATTATACACGTTAGTGCACATATTGACGATTTTATTGCTTTAAAAGTTCTGGTTTTAAATCACTTTTCTGTATAGTTCCAAGTAGTCAGTTGTATCAGTTTGGGGCCCTCGCTACATATATTTGAAATTCATTCTGCTCGTGATATTATTGCTGAGAACTAAACAATTAAAATGGCTAAAAATCAAAGCAATACCAGATTTTTAAAGAACAGCACAAATAAATGTAATGAGGAAAGAAGGTAGTTTTTATTATCATGAAGTATTATAAATTCCAAAATCAGAATGGAATATTAACTGAAAAGCATTAAGCATGAAACAACGAATAAAAACATAAACCTCTAATTCGAAAGAAAGTATAACAGTGTTAGCAATTCAGACGTGAGGAAGCATCTAATAAAGGACTGAAATAAATTTAAAAAAAAAAAAATAGTAACCTAAATTAACTGAGAATTAATTAAATGAATTTTAAGCAATAAAAATCGGCAATCTGGTTTTAAGATTTTTTTCAAACTAATATGCGTTATATAACGACGAACAATCGAGTTGCAATCCATAACTCTACAGAAATCTCGCAGACTGACTGTTGTTTCATGTCACCAGAAATCATTTGAGCTTATGAACCCAAGACGTCCCCAAATTCACATGATCTCTGACGTTACGTGCTACTTTTTGCCACTTTTGTCAGCTAACCATGCTAAAAAAAAAGAACTGATAGCACTGCGCTTCAGTGGCTTAGTGACTAAGGTTTGGCTTATTTTGATTATCGCAAAGTAGACGAGAACTTTCTAAGGGCAAAACTGTCTTCGTATAGAACTTTCTATAAGAAAAGGACTCATATTTACGTCACATTTGAAGAACAAAGGAAAAAAAAAAAAAAAAAAAAAAAAAAAAAAAAAAAACACTCCCGTGCAGTCATTCGCCGGAGGCCCAGTAAGCTGAGAGGTTAAAACTGCTGAACACTTGTCTAATCCCTGCAAAACAGGGTGGTTGCCTGGCAATTTTCGTGGTTTTTTTTTATATGTAACTTGAGTACGAATCCATTTCGTTCAGAAAATCCTCCATGAAGAGATATCGTTTCCCTCAGGCAGAGAGTCCACTTCAGCTTTTTCATAATAACAACAAAAGAAACCAACACTTAAGCCATCCACTCGGACATCTTTCCCTGTATGGAGCTCTCGAGTTCTTTATTCAGTTAATCAATTCCTGAACCATCGGTTCAGGACAGACCTTTCACCATTGCTCATTTCCTTCCATAAAAGTTCTGTTCTGGTTCGACCTGATAAGTTACGTATGAATGTAAATTAGTTTTCCTTAGAAAAACCTAAGTCACGAGGAAAATAGCTTTTGACAGCTTTCCCATTATTGATTAAACAAATGAATACAGAAAAACCTACTCTGAGGCTACTTTATTTCATCACTTTATTACCGATAGCTTTTATTTCGATTTCTATCTTGAAATTTATTCTAACTCTTGAACTAAATTTGTTTTCTAATCAAATTTATTTCACTTTTTAAGTTCGTTATTACATCTGTTCTTTTATATCCTTCCACGATTCTGATGCTTCACTGGTAATTGATGCAACTCTTCCAATGATTTTTAAGGTCATCAGAGCTTCTAAATTCCGCCAATAGTCTCGGCACTACTAACAGGATAATTCCTAAATCCGAACTTTTCTCAAATTCAGTGTTAGTGAAGCTTCACATGGTTAAGCATTTTATTACCTTTCACCGTACGGCTTAAATACCATATAATACTGTTTATTCTGGAGAACTCGAGGTACATATTAGATAAATGGTGATTACAATAGCAGCAAAATCAAAATGACAATACAGTAAGACCCCATCCCCCTAAAAAAAAGGATGAGTTTATTATCAAATACTTGAAACAAGACACCATTTGAAAAGAAATCATTTTATTGCTGAGTAAAATATTTAAATTTAAAAGCATAAAGTACAAAACATGCTAATGAAAGCTTTGTAGGAGCCTATGATCAGTTTTCAGTGATACTATTGATAGTTTCAACAATTCAACATTATCAGCCAAATGTAATAAATTAATAGTAAAAACATTTATATAATAATTTAGAAACTAACCTTAAAGTTTAGTTTTGCGGTCTTGTCATACAATAAGGCGAAAAATTCATTTGTTTTCATGTAGTCGAGAAATGTGGCTGACAATGCTCAAAGGCGATGAAGATTTTTAACCTACTACTTCGACAAACTGCATATTAAAAATCCTCGCTGTTTTTGCATTTAAAGAAAAGTATTATCACATTTTATTCGAATTGTAATAACTCTGCAGACTTGGGGCACATTATAATCAAATGATAATGCAAGTTGTTAATGTGATTTAACAATATGAATTATCATTTTACAACTATATTTTGTTTGTTACATAAATTTTAGATGAATTCAATCGCAATAATATCTGTTCTTTTACATTGCAGATATGTTGCATTTTCGGTTGACTTCACTTTTAATTACTTAAAATTATATACTAAGCGAAAACCTACATTAAACTAAAGATTTAGGAAGAAAGTAAGGAAAATGTGAGCTTTACTTTGACATCAGTAATCACAAAGAGAAGATAATGAATAATATATTTTCCCAAGGGAAGCATTTCATACCTTCCCACAGCTGAAAGGAACATCGGTTCACTTATAAATAGGAATCAAGTACATAAGACGTAGTAATACATTTTTTCTTCTATTGCACGTTATTTAAGCGTCTTGCGTGAATAAGTCTTTCAGAAAAGAAGTCTTTATGATAATTTATATATTGTGGCCTTCTGAGAGGACGGCCAGGAAGAATAACCGGCCGCACAGTCACACCTGTTGATGAAGAACTGTTTCCGAGATTCACCAGTCTACTGACAAGCCTGGCTACTCCGACCGGAATCAGAATCGGTAGAGTTAACGCACCAAGAACAGTTAATCCAATGGCCCCTAGCTGTCGTTCTTCTAATTCATTTAGATAATTCTCTTTTCCAAAATTGTCTTCTTCCATATGTGGCCGAACACAGCTCAGCAAAGACCAGATGAAGAAAATCTTTAAGGCAAACTTACGCATTTTGGAACCTGTACAGAAAATTCTGAATTAATAATCCAATATTTAAATCTGCAAGTAATAAGAAACGAAAAAAAAAAAAAAAAAAAAAAAAAAAAAGAAATTAAAGATTAAATTTCTTCTAATACTAAATTAAATTTAAATTGATCTAAAATGAAGTGAAAAGAGCATTAAAATACTTCTTTTACAGCAAGGTTAAATTCAGATTTTAATTATGAAGATCATCATAGTGATTCGTTTAACTAAAAAGGTGTCTTTATTTTCCTAACCAATTAAATTGACGGTGCTAATTCGTTTTAAATCCACAACAAAATCTAAAAAGATCAAGACGACGAGACTATTACACTGTTGCTGTTTCTAGTACTTAAATCTAGCTCATTGGGATCTGAACATATCTTAGAATGGATAATTATTCTGTGCGTTAGATAGACAGAATTGCTTTTCTGTGCCTTAGAGAAAAAAAAAAATGCAACATTTTAGGAGTAAGATAATGGAAGGTAACAGCATGTCGGACAGAGAAAGTCAATTTGAGTTTTCGTAACATAAAATACAGTGAAAACTATTGATAACACTACATTCCTTTTAAAAGATGACTTATTTTTCTCTAACTTATATAAATTAATACTTTTTAAGCTAATCAGTATATTCAATAACAGTTTTAAGACGATGTTATTAATTTTAATATCAGTGAAAGAAATTTGAAGCATATCTTAAGTTTATAACACACAGTATGAAGATGAGATGGGATGCAAGAAGATGCTTTAGGTAATCTAGCATGATACAGTTCTTGGTAGAAATAGAAACTCATTATTTGTTGATAAAGAAATTAATATGCTTTTGTTCTCCGTAAAGTAAAATGCAGCATAATTACGTTTCTCACAACCCTTATGATAACTTGAGATTATCTCGAAATTACGTCCTCTAAATGTTTGTTAAAAATATTTTTACATTAATATGAGTTTATAGTATACCCATGCGATACCCTTCTCATTTTCATTTGAGGCAAGTGCTTCATTCTTCTCATCCTCGACAAGGCTACACGTTTTCATATTGTTGTAAATCACAAATATTTCAATGCATTTGATCACATTCTTTCTTTTGTGTAGTGTTTCACTTATTTATTTATTTAACTGCTGCATTTTAGGAATAATTTTAGGGTAAATTTTGTGTAATTAAATTTGTGTCCGCATGTTTTTCTTTTTTTAATATATATAAGAGTTTATCTCTCATGTAGAACTGCTTATCTTGATTTTCTGAATCCAAGAATAATTAAATTATGAAAATAGCTCAAACAGAACATTAGATATGATGGGGTTTGGGCTTCTGATGCTTTAGTCATAGTTTTTGCCCCCCGAGTTGGCGTTATTTGATGATTTCTTGCCAACTTGGCGATTTTCTGGAAGTCTCAGGTAAATGCATTTTCCAATCTCTAGGAGAAATTTGTTTTCGAAGCTTGAGCAACAGCACATAAATGAGGCTCCGAGAGCCTGGACCAGTCAATTTTTACTCAGTTTTAAGTGAATTCAAAAAGACTACTCCTCAAAGAGAGTTAGAAGAATTGTATTTTATAGTTTACTTTGTGAGTGATAGTGATAATTTAAAATATTTTTGTATGTTAAAGAGAATTTCCTAATATCTGCGTTCGCCTTGAGTTATTTACAGCTATTTATTTTGCTGTGCAGTTTATTAATTAAAATAAACTGCCAATTTCTTTCTGCTCATCTGCAGTCACTATTTAAAGGGGCATTCAACAACACGTTGCTTGCAACAACTAGTATCAGAATGATAGATCTCTTTTAAAGTCGATGATCAGCAATCTGCAAGAACTGTCAAAAGCTATTATGGAAATGATTGTCTCAAGTTCTGTTAAAATGAATGAAACAATGGAAGCAAATGCCGTGGAGAGGAGAAATATTCAGCCGCGAATGGTGAATCTACCACCACTTTTCTTTACGAGATAAAGGATTTCATAGATGTCAACGTCAAGCAGACCTCTCCTGTTATCTTGGACATGAAAGAAAGCATTGACACTGTTATAATATTGTCAATGATGAGAACGAAGAAAGCTGCAGATATAGAAGAAAGCTTGAGAAAGGGATATGAATTGTTAGTACAGAAATTTAAAATACACTGGTTTTCCAAAATTAAGGCAAAATCACAAAAGTAGCGATAACTCGTTAGTTTTTTTAACTCGTAGCGTTAAATTTTTAAAATAAAAAAAAAATAGCTTTACGATGAAATAATTTTTAAAAATCGTTTTTGAATACATGATATTTTTAAGAAAGTTTTTAAATTGTGAAAAGCTTCTCTCAGCATTTACAGATGTGATCAGGACACGCTTAAAGAAAACAGCCTCATTTACAGATAATTATTTATATCCTCTTTTTCTTTTTTAATACTGAAAATTCATCTTAAATGTTAAAAAACTTACATTTTCTAGAGCAATATTTAATGCTGCAGTGTTTGTGTAATTTTCTTGCTTTATTGATATTGAATTTAATTAAAAGTATAAGAGATAAAATAAATGCATGGTACTTAAGTATTAACAGCAGTTTGGAGAATTTGACGGAAAAAGAAAGAAGAGCAATTATTTTATGATAAAAAAAAAATTATATATTACGTGTCATAACATATTTTACGTTTCAACTGTATATTTATCTCAAAAAACAGTCAATAATCCTAGTTATAAACAAATTTTTGACTTTGTTGAAGGGGGAATTTCATAGCGATCGCTTTTAGAAGTGATTTCGAACTATTAATCCTTTCGCGATTTTGCGGGAAAATACTGTACTCTCGCAGAAATTTCAGCTCTGTTTCTTCCTTTATAAGGAAATGCACAAGCACAAAGTTTAAAATCGTGTTTAAGACAAAAAAATAATCATAATTCCTTTATAAAAACCGTTGGAATTCGCAATACGGCAAAAAGAACGTATGTGAAAATGGCGAAGTTGGGAACAATATCTGTTATGGGCCATGGTTGCCTAAATAATTGTTATGCGCGTGGTTAACAGAATTTGGCGGAATCTGAAACCTTGGCTAGTTTTGCAAAAGTGGTTGCGATAATGCGTAAGTACCTAGAATATTTTAATACAGAGTAACTCAGTCGAGATCAATGTCCAATAATCGAACTTAAGAGAAATTCGAATATTTATTAATTTGAACATTTATTCGTTTACACAGCGAAAATAAAATTTTAGATAGTTTGTTTTCCTTTTGTAAATTATTCTTATTGCAACTATTTTAACTAAAAAATAATGTTCATAAAACTGAATAATAAGGCACTTATCAAAAATGAAAATTTCTAGTATTATTTTCTTGCATTTTCAGCAGGTATTTCGCAGTTGCCAGCACTACAGCCCGAAATAATAATCGTTAAGACTACTCTTACAAGGAACTGCAGAAATCAATACACTAATAATATTACCGATGCGTAATTTTATCAATCAAGAGCCACCAGTTTTATTACAATGAAAATAAAATATTAGGAATTTAGGACTCTTATCTTCGTTGTAGTTATAAATATAGAGCGAATAAATATACCTAAGCGTTTTTATTTATAACAGTTATAAATATAGAGCGAATAAATATACCTAAACATTTTTATTTATAACAGTTATAAATATAGAGCGAATAAATATACCTAAACGTTTTTATTTATAAATAAAGTTATAAATAAAAACGTTTAGGTATATTTATTCGGGTTTTATGCTACCATTAAATTCAGGCGAACTTCACTTAAACGACTGTTTTCATATTAATCATAAATGGAAAGCTATTTATTTCATCTTTTAAAACTTTTCTGAATTTCATATTTAAGAATGGAATAATTTCAGAAACGTCTCAAAAGAACATTTATTTAAGCTTATGAGGGCAAAAAACAGTCGTATTTATATACGAATACATATATATATATATATATCTTTATATATATCTTTATATATGTAGGATGTCCCAATAAAAGCAACAGATTTAATATGCCCACAAAAGCACTTTACGTTTCAGAAAATGCAAGACATTTTTGTGTATTTATAAAAGGCAAATATTCCGATTTAAGACTGTTAAATTTGATTCATTTGACCTGGCAAGAATGTATTTTATCACTAATCAATTTATTTCGCAGCTTCGTTGCAGTTTAGTCGACTTGGAGAGCGAAGAAACAGTGAGTTTTGACTGTGAAAACTCGTTACAAAAATTATGAGTGTTATGCACAGATTGTTAGAATGCTTCATACAGTCTTTTGACGTGAAAGCACACCTAATTGAACAACAAACTGCAGATTGATAAAGAATTTGAGGCCAGATGTTCTACAGCAGACATTAAATCGCCATTTTCTCTGTCCTTTTGTGGGCATATTAAATCTGTTGCTTTTTTGGGACTCCTATAATATATAATATATATATATATATATGTAGTATATAAATACGACTGTTTTTTGTCCTCATAAGCTTAAATAAATGTTCTTTTGAGACGTTTCTGAAATTATTCCATTCTTAAATACGAAATTCAGAAAAGTTTTAAAAGAGGAAATAAATAGCTTTCCATTTATCATTAATATGAAATCAGTTGTTTAAGTGAAGTTCGCCTGAATTTAATGGTAGCATAAAACCCGAATAAATATACCTAAACGTTTTTATTTATAACTGTTAAATAATAACTTAACAGTTATTTATAACTGTTAAATAATTGACGGAATGAAATCTGTCATATATTTTGTTGAAACAAAAGCAGCGTACTATTCTTGAAAATTTCATATCAATGCATTTTGGCGTTAGAGTCCCTCAGATCGTTTAAAAGCAATTATTCTATTTACTCGCATATTTCTTTCCTGACATTTTTAGAATATGATTTATAATGTTTTATTTGCCTTAAATTTCAACTTAATTCTCTAAATTATAGACGAGGACTCGTCTAGAAGAATAACAAGGTTCAGAAATTTCTCAGATAGGTGTTCTTCACATGTGCATTTCAAGATCGTACCTTTTTTTTTTTTTTTTTTTACATATTACGTGCTCCGCCCTTAGGCACTACACGGAAAGGGAGGGATGCCCCGTGGAGGTCGTTTAAAGACTGGATCGTATCCTCGTTACACATGGGGAAAGTCCCAAAAGCGCCCATGCAGTCAGCCCGATAGCCGGGACTCGAACCTCGGACCGAACTTCCAGTGTTCAGCAGCTTTTACCGCTCGGCCGCTGGTGGACCGAGACCGTACATTAGGCCCTTCAAAATTCAAGACAAAGGCCCTTCATCCTCCCCTCCCATGGGTATAAAGAGGAAAAAAAAAGCGAACAAAGAATATCAAAACACTACTAAATTTGACGATTCAATCTCCAGAAGGATATTGCTTAACCTAGACAGTACGTTGTATCCTCCACGGGAATGAACGTCTCTCCGTCTACGCAAAGCAACTGCAGTTGTCGAATGTCACTCCATTGCCCATCTCCTTGTAGTCCTTCTCCAGCGACTACTAAAATAGAATACTATGAGCACTGATAGTTTGCATTCATTTATCACCTTTCATAGCCCTTATTTATTTATTTGTAATAAACCTTTACCGGTGTCGGAATCTCCATATTTAAATTATGTAGATTAACAAAGAACTTTGCTTTTATCTTTAATTCAAGGTACAGGTGGCAAAGTACAAAGCAGAAATAATAATAATAAATTCTGAAGGAATAACTAACAGTAATATTAGAGTTTCTATTCCTCCACACTTTTTAATTGCATAATTTCTATCTCTAACCCTTCTTCAAAATTAGTAGGAGTTTATATGATGCATTTTCAATCGGTAAAAAAAGGGGGGGAGAAGAAGATCAAAGCGAATAAGTATCGCATTACGTGTTGAATCTTTGAAACCGGCCTTTAAGTCTCTGACGTGCAGGAAAACTGGTACTAATCTTCAGAAAAAGATACTCTCCCGCGCTTGTGTAATTACGTCACTAAGCTCAGATGTTTTTACTACGTAGCCTCAGGTTGTGTTCATATGCAAATGCGTCATACCTTGGATACTCGTTTTCCCAGTTTTATCTCAAATCACTGTCATACAAAACATTCGTTTCCTTAACTGAAAACAGAACTGTTGATCTATGTAACTGGATCAAACAAGAAAACAGAAAATGAACTATTCTCTCATTTAAAGGATATGGCGTACACATATCTTTCAAAGGAGACTACATTCAATATTATATAGTATATGCCGTTTACTTTTGTGTTTTACTAATTAATGCAGTAAATATAATTAATTCAGTTCAGATGTTTTTTAGTGCATAATTCATCTTGAATATCGGCCCACCAGCGGCCGAGCGGTAAAGTCGCTGAACACTGGTAGTTCGGTCCGAGGTTCGAATCCCGCGAACGGGCTGGCTGCATGGGCGTTTCGTGGTTTTCCCATGGTAACGTGTATACGAGCCAGTTTCCCTTAGAAAGTCCTCCACGAAAGGCATCCCTCCCCTTAGGCAGATAGCCCTCGTGTGCTTTGCCATAATTAAATACACACACACACACATCTTGAATATCGAGCGGGCAACTCTTCTTTGCTCCCAAAATGCACAGAGAATGAACTTTTTATTTATTCTGTGCGTTGAGCCTTTAAAGTTGCTTTTGGATACCCTAAGTATTGAATTCTTTGAGTATATATACGAGGCACAATAGACATTATTAACTTGACAAAAAATACTGTCAGGAAGTTATTATTTAAAGGAAGGCTTTCCCGTTTCTGAACTACATCATAATTAATTTTAATATTAGGAAAGTGTAAACCAAAAACACTGAAATCTATTAAATAAGAAATAGTGACAATTCAGAAAGGCTCAAGTAGTTTTAATGTATAAATGCAAACACATACTTGAGCTAAAAAATCACATTTTAAAGATTCTAGATTTAAGTTAATAACGAATTTAGGTTAATAAGAGTATGAATAAGATTAGGTTAATAAGAATATGAATTAATTGTTCTAAAAATAAAAATAACCCTTGAATGTTGACTTTGAAATCTAAGTTATGTTGTCCTGTCTTAAAACGTGGTGATGGCAGATTTCTGGATAGAATTGGAGAAGAGACTAAAAGGAAAAATTCAAATATGCATTTATTGTTTATGCTCTATATTCTGTCTTGATGTATTCATCTGTTTAGGGACACTTATATTTAGAAATATGAATAGGTCAGTAAAGAGTCCGAGAAGTATCTAAAAGAAACATGCCCTGTGTATTTTAATCTATTTAAGAACATTTCTATATACTATTTTGAAAGATGGAGAGGAGTAATGGCTTGCCAGTACATCTAAGAACTTTGTAAGGATATCTGCATACCATATACAGAGCCTACCCGGAAACTCCGTAGAATTTGTTTGGGGTATGCTGTCGCGTTAAAACCTAATTTCATAGAAAAATATCGGTAATAGTAATTATGACTTGAAATGCAATTAAAAGATTGGGTGCGTAATTTTAATGTTCCGCAAACAATTTTATTGCGAGTGCTTAGCACATTGGTGTATTACGTTTACAAATCAAGCATCTGTGATCTATCATAAGTGTGTAATGAATAACGCAAAGCTGTCATTTATTGATAACTTAAGTATAATTCTTAAATTATCAACGTAAATTATTTCAAATTTATTTCCGGGATAATAAATTAATTATTAGCTGCTGATCTGGTCACACAGAATTTATAGCAGAGTAAAATATAATTAATTAAGTTAAATCAAATTAATAAATTCTTATGCGGAAGAGAGGAGACAGATCATTTCCTGAAAAATGATTACTTGACACTGTCCTTCCAAAAACAAATGTTTCTAAGTTTTCATAAGCACTAAATATAATAATCAACTAAGCATATTATAAAATTTCAGGACTTCTATAAATAATTAATTAAATTTAAATCTATGCATACTGATTTTTAGATATTATAAATATCCAAAATTTAATTCCCTAAATGCGTTTGAAAATCTTTAATATGTTTTATTTTCCAGCTATACGGTACGTGACAATACACATCATTAGTGGAAATATTCTACAAGAATAAGAGGCGTAAGAGTGCGAAAGAAATTATTTACCTTCCAGAAATGAATTAACATTTACCTGAGAAACGTAGCTGAAGACCTTGCTCGAAGCCTTATTCAAAGTTATATTACTTCATGTGGTTTGTGACTTGACTGTGAAGAAACAGGATACGACTGGAAACGGTGTCATCAAAAGCGCCGGAAGGAAGAAATGAAGTTCAAACTCGGAGTAGTGCTCTTGAAAGCACGCATTACATCTTCGCGAGCAATGCCTAGACGTGTAGTGCATTTATACATGAGGTATAGTCTTAAAAGGAAAACCCAGATAATTTGCAGATGTAACTGCTGTTTTTTGTATTGTTTCACGGAGGCCAACCATTAACCTTCTCTTTAGACCAATGGTAATTATTACGAAAATCCATTAATGAAGAATTTTGCACTCATGTTACAGAAACATACAGAAATATTGTGCACTGCAGCTAGCTCGGAAAAATGAAAAACAACCAAATAAAATGGAAAGCTGCGGGCATTTCGGATATAAAAAATGTTTATATGGTATAGTATCACATTTAAGTCTGTTTCCATAATTTAGTAAATTTAATGTAATGTCAAATGAACAAAAAATGCGCACTTAATTAATTTTAGTCGTACATCATTTATTTCGTGGCTAGCGGGGAAAATGTTCGTTGTAATAATTTTAATGTTGTAATAATTAAGTTTTTTTAAAAATTAAAATTTTTTAAAAAATTTTTATTTTATAGTTTTCTCCATTTTGTCGCTGAAGTAATAATCAAATAAAATTCCTCAAAAATTTTTCACACATGTTTTTATCTTTGTAAGCTTTTAGAAAAATTTCTTTTGAAGGGTTTAGTTTTGCAGATCTTCATTTCTTTGTTGCAATGCTATTGTCCTTTGGTGAGGAAAACTGCTACGAAGGAAAAATTGTCTTACCATATAGATAGATATACACTGTACTACTTGTCAGTTTTAGTTGTAAATCTGGAAACTAAGATTAATTTAAGGCTTTTAAAGGATGAATTCGTACGACTTTTGTTGTTTAAAGCTAAACTTAAAATTTAAGACATTTTGTTTCCAAAAATTAATTCTTGAATATATTTTTATTTATTTATTTTGCTGTTAAATTGAGTAATTCTTAAATAGTAAAATTAATGTAAGTCTTTATTTCCTTTGTAATCTTCTTCAGTTTGTTTTATTAAATTTTAAACTTTTTAACTGAATTTCAAACGCTCTAGTTTTAAAACTTTTGGTGGTATCCAATTCAATGTAATTTTATTTTTTCTCATATTGTTGTGTTGTATGGGTTCGTGGATTTGGAGGGATTGATGATTACGCTTGATGAAGCATCAAAACACAATTTATTCGTCAGTATTACACAGGAAAGTTCCAAAGACGCGTTACAATCGTCGAAAAACAACGACAAAAACGCTGAAACAATCAGCAACACAGCCTTCAGGTTACAATGATGAAGACAGCTTCACGGCAGAGCACTAAAGTACAGATCCTGACTCAGTTCGATGGCTCACAAGCTAATATCTCAACTCTACTACTGAACTCAACACACTTCACTTTAAACTGCTACTCCGCGTACAAGCAGGGTATTTATAGCTTTTGACCTGCCTTCGAGAACATTTTTAGGAAAACCTGTAAGAATTCTTTCTAGAATTTCCTCGCTCCGTCTATGGCATGTCGCCAATTTTGTCTCCAAATTGGCGATTTTACTCCAAATCTGGGACTCCGACCTTTCCTATCTATTCTCTAACGACCCTAAACCCGCTATGCGGGAAAGCTATCTTACATAATAATAGAAAATTCGTGTAAATACAAAATTCGTAACAACATCAAAGAAAACTACGGCTATATGCTTAAATGAGAGATGCCTTCGTGTAGGATTTTCTAAGGGAAGCTAGCTCTCCGTTATACATGGGGAAAATTTCGAAAATACTCCTGCAACCAGCCCGTTCACCTGAAAAAAAAAAAAAAAAAAAGCGCAACAAACGCTAAAAGAAAATTTACGAAGGTACAAAGGGGATTTAAAACATATATGTTACATATTAGGTGAGGTTGCATCTCCGAATACAAATAGGCAACCAAAATTAGCATAAAACGCAATCCCGCAGTCCCACCGCAATGTCTTAAAAAGGAGCTAGCCAGAATTATGCGTCAGTTTGCAAGCAGCGATGGTTCCGTGTAATCCAAGAAAGCCAGTAGCGAGAGAGCGGAATGTGCTTCGTAGTCTTATCAAAAGGCTGTGGAATCGTTATCAAAGGGCTCAAAATCCGTGTAGAAGGCGTGGCTATGGACGCCGGAGGATTACCATAATGGCACACAATCGCTTCCTGTCCAAGATGCAGTAGATCAGCACGACAACTGGGGGTCGCATCTCTCTGCTACTGCAGAACGGCCTCTATATAGGATTACCACAATGGCACACGATCGCCTCCTGTCCAAGATGCAGTAGATCACTAGTAGCACGACAGCTGGGGTCGCATCTCTCTGTTGCTGCAGAACGGCCTATATAAAGCCAAACTGTGTCGCGCAGACTACATGATTCCAATAATTGCTTATCAAAAATAATTGCTTCACTCATCCAACGCTACTCCCAGTAAATACTTGTACCTCAACCAACAGATAGAGCCACAGGACAATGACCAAGTATCCTCTACTCAAGAAATGTTCCACTTTAAACTACTAAAGTGGATTTATTTCATCATTATGACGTACCCCGTAGGGTAAATAACTTCTGACTCAAAGTCCCCAGGACTAAATACTCATCGACACTTCATTTCATGCCAATTCATGCCAGACTACATGAAGGTGGACCGTACCAACACCGTTGACCGTACGTCCTATGACCTGTGGGTTGTATTTCCTTTGTCGCCATCGCATGTGAGAAAGCCGCTGAATTAGGCACGTGAAAATCTCGGACTCCAGAGCAGTCAGGCCACGCACTCTTTACGGATTGTTGTGGAGATGGGCCAAATGTTATGTTTGATATATAATATAAAATTTCCAAGAGGAATTACTTAAGAATATTGAGTGTACCCCAAAATACCAGAATTATCCCTCATATGACTTAACGTTCAATAACATTAAAACAGTTTTACTTACTAGTTTATAGTGCCATTCAATTTCACCTATAAACACGCAATAAGCATTTTATACACATTTCGCTAATTTTATTTATTAGTAGCTATTAGATTAATTTCACTAATTTCTTGATTATATATATCATTTCCGTCGCTATATCAAAACTGCCATTCATACTGTGACCGTTCTTTATCGCTTATCATCCCAGAGCTGAGCACGCACAATGAAAAGGAATCTTATTTCATCTTCCTAAAGAGTTATGATGACAGAAAAAATATATTACAACTCTACTTCGAATTATTAGTTCTTTAAAGCACTTGTATTATTTTCTGCAAGCAAGAAGGCGTTGCTCGACATTTCACCTGAAGCACTTCATACAACAGAACATGTGGCACGGTAGACAATGCCGGTTGAAGACGCCTTTAGAAAGAGATTATGTTTCCACAAAATGAAGCTGTTTCCTTGAAATTGCAGTTAATGTCTGTCAGTTCTGTTAGATGGCGATTATACACATTATAGCACTGTAAATTCCATAGTACAATTCATTAGACTATGTGTAGCAAAACTCATTTCTTCTGATATATGGAGCAGGCAACTCTACCCAAACTGTGTAATTAGCTCTTTATTACACTTAAACAGAGCCCTTATCGCCTACAATCCTCATTAACTTGTCTAGTTTGTAAGAATCATGAATATAAGCCTATTTTATTTTAGTTACTTATTTTAAATCAAATTCGAATGAATTTCTTAAGCATGGTTTTGTGTTAAAAGTTTGAGCAAAGAAATATGTTACTATTCATCCTTGTTTGAAAACTGAAGTATTAGACTTCATTTCATCAATGAATATAAAGACTGTAAGCCTGAATTATAGCAAAGGAACTTCATCTTAAATAAATTAATGTTAACTGGGGTTAGGTTAGATACTAGATACAATGATCTATCTGAAGATTTAATTAGAAGTTTTGAAAATGGTGTTCACTGGGATTTGATTTCTAGTTATAAAAAATTATCTGAATCTTTCATCAATGAATATAAAGATAGAGTGCATTGAGATAATATTTCAGCTTATTAAAAATTATCCGAACCATTTATGATTATGCACGAAAATCTCACTAACGGGAATATTATATATATAGATATCAACAATTAATTAAAAATTCATTGTTGATAACAGGCCCACCGGCGGCCGAACGGTAACGTCGCTGAAAACTGGTAGTTCGGTCCGAGGTTCGAATCCCGCGAACGGGTTGGTTGCATGGGCGCTTTCGTGGTTTTTCCCATGTGTAGCGTGAGTACGAGCCAGTTCTTTTTAGGAAGTCCTCCACGAAGGCATCCCTACCCTTAGGCAAATAACCCTCGAGGCTTTGGCATAATCACACCCATTTTAGATAACAAGGATAAAATAAATTTGGGATACGGTTTCAGAATATGAAACTTTAGGTAATAATTTCATTTTAGAAAATTAAATATGAAATCAGTTTCTCGATAACAAAATTAACAAAAAATACTATTGAAGAACTGAAAGATGTAGTAGATTAGTATAAAATAATTAGAAATCTAGATTTCAGCGAAGACATTTTAATAAACATGTAGAGAAAGTAGACTGATGTAATCCAAATTTATATAAACAAGTGTTAAAAAATTTCATTAAAAGACATTATGAGAGAATTTGTATAATATTATTATCTCACGTATGTGCGAATCTTAAAAAAATTTACTAATAAAGGGATGAAAAGGTTGAAGAAGAAGTACATATTATAAATTCTTTAACTGAATTGAACCATAAACCAAATAAACAGGATATAAATTTCCTCATATTAATTCATCTTTATAAATTATGAGATTACATTGAAGAAATGAATAATGATTTAGGAAAAAAAAAGGAAAAGTATTCTTTGTACATTACCTACATAGCTGTACGTTAGAAAAAGATATAAAATACCTTTTATATTATTTGCACCTTGTAAAACTTTATTTTTATGGTATTTCAATAAATCTTGTAAACTTGAAGCAATATGCAAAGAGAATGAATATTTTGTTCAAATATCAAAACACTGAGGTTATGATAAATATACTGAAGAAATTTCTCAGTTATTAGAAAAATTTGATTTTAAGATCTTCAAAAAAAAGTTGTAAAAATATTTCCTAAATAAAAAGACTTTAAAAATGTTGACCAATAAGTGGAAGCATACAATATTCTCGGATATTATCCTAAAACTCTAAAACTGAAAGATGACTGGAAAATATAATCTGATTGTACTAAGAAAAATTCAAGCTAAGTATGGAGATTCATGTATTGTAAAAATAGAAGTAGGTGATGAAGAAAAACGATATTTTCTTAAAACATGTTATGGAAAACTTTCTGATAATGCAATCAAAAAAATTAATAAAGGAAATTACATAATTAATTATAAAGGCATGATTGATGGAGAATATTCGTAGGAATTACAAAAAGAATCATAAAAATTTATAATTTTTTCAACTCTGAATCATGTTTATCATTTATTAAAAAAAAACATATATTTTTATGTCATTTTCCTTCAAAAAACTTAAAATTTTTGTGTATTTTTTAATCTAAAAAAACGTACATTTTTTTATTATAGAAACTTAAGTTTTTTTGTGTATTGTTTTCATATCTAAAAACATATATTTTATTCCAAAAACTTCAGATTTTTTCGTTTTTTCTGTAATTTTTTTTAGAGTTAAATCTAAGAATTATGTAAGAAACATAGATATTTTTATAGAAAGCTTGACATGTGAGAAAGTCGTTCAGGGTTTTGGAAAATTGCGCTAGGAAAGTCATTTTGACTGTATCTAAGGCGTTTCTTTCTATCAAGACTACCCTTCGTTTTGAATTTTTCTCTTTGGATTGATTGCTATTACTCGGCAATGTTTTTGTCCATAAATTAATATTGAAATTTTCCCTAAAATATGAATTGTTATCCTTTTGTACCCAACATATTAACTTAACACCACATCTTACTTGTTTCCTCTCGAATTAAGTATCGTCGTTTGTTCAGGGCAGAAAAGCTCCGCACTGCACTTCTGTCTGAACTGAAGAGTATCTCCAGATATTGAGATATAGAAGCATTTTATAACCTTTACATCTGCTGGAGTAAGTTAATTGTTGGTATCGAATTTTACTTGGAGATGAATGTGTTTCATCGTCATAAGTCTAAGGTCTCAAGATTCCTTGAACTTTCGTATTCTGCTACAAACATTGATAGTAGCTGTACGTTTGTAAAATACATAAAAACTTGAAACTTGTCATGTAGGTTTTGTGATCATTGAAAAAAAAAATCTGTTCTACTTGAACTGTTTAATCATTTCCTGAAATTAGTTTCAGGAAGAATGCGTTGTTATTCAGCATTTGTATCGACAAAAGTCCATATTTTCATGCAAATAATCTACGCCTATTTTGGCTAAATTGTGTAATGTGACTTACACTTCGCACTAATTAATGGGATACAAAGCATTAAATTTTGCTTTATATTATGTTTCCAATTTTTATTGGTATATTATCGAAGAATAAATAATGAAGACTAATTCAATAGCGTGGTACTAATATAAATTTATGCATTAATGTAGAAGACATGTTATATTATTGACTTTTTATAAAACCTGTACTCGTATATTTCAGGTTAAATACAAAACTTTGTATGAAATGCTTAAGTAACTCTACAAGATTCCTTTCTTTAATGATAATAAGCCTTTTTCTTAGTGAAGTATCGAAACAATTCTGAAAATAAAAGCATTCACAACACGTATATTGCAACAATATTTTATTTATCTCAGTATCATACAATAAACAATACATTCAACGGCCAGAAGTCTTTTAAATAACCAGATTTCAAGCTAAGTCTCAAAATTTATATGGCGTTTTACATTTTATGGTATTTTTTATATTATTTTAGTTGCTTCTCGAAGAGAATGATTCACATAAGCATGAAATGTGAAAAAAACCTTAATAAAGCAATTTACAGTAATATACAATATCTTTGGACAAAATAGCTGCATGAACTACCTAAGTGAAAGAATGAAAACTAAACAATACAGATGCGAAAAGTCAACTTTTTTTTTTCTGAGTCAGTTCTTCAAATTTCACTCTTTCTATATGGAATTTTTTCGAACCTATTCATAGATCTATTCCAAATATTTTCAACGAACTCTTAGTACGCAAATTCCTGGTTTAAAATTATTAATTTCTATATGTAGTTATAATTTCACCTGATACAGAATGATGTGAAAGTCAGTAAACATTTAAGATATTTATATTTGAGTAGTTTATGTATGACGGTGTAGTTAGCGCAGAAACGCCTAAAGTTGTCATTTTTAAGAGGCCTTATTACGTTTGTTTTTTAATTTTATGTTGCTTATAAGACGGCCTTGTAACTGCAACAGGATACCAAATACTTGTAATAAATAATGAAGCAGGAATCATTATCGAGCAGCGTCTTTAATTTTGATTATGCCCTTGCCTAGCGTCTTTTAACATTGCCAGGGATATATTTTGAGCTCTGTGTATACTTGATTTTCAGCAGTCTTATGATAGAATTACAGGTTCTGAAGTCTGGAGCTCTGGATGATCATTCATATTCAAGATGCTAGCTTATTATTACTAAATTTTCCTTTAAAGTGAAAGAGCAAAGCAATTTAGAGTGATCATCCATCCTGAGTGAATTCCACAAAATAAAAATTCATAGATTTCGTTCAGGTTAGGAACAATTTTGTGTTGTAACCAGTCAGCATAATGATGACCTGTGAAAGTGAAAGTTCAAACGTAAGGCCCTATGTTCACGTTCCAATGAGCAACGTATCTGATCGATTTATTTGCAACTATTTATTTGTACGTAACAAAATGTTTTAAAAATATAAAGGTTCTGTGCTATTTGTTTTTCCATATATATTACACTGCGAATTGGTTGAGATACGAAATTTTCAAATGTTTACTGCCGTTTAGATCATCCTGTAAATCGAAGGATTCTTCAGTTAGATTTCTTGTGTCCTTGATGTATAGGAACCGTAACCCGCTGTACAGGGATTACGTTAGAAAGTTTCTTAGTACTCTACTCAATTCTTAGTACTCTACTGCAAATTTTCCATGTTTGCATAATGCGCACTAAATAATTAATATAAATTACATAATACATATCCACAATACATAATACACAGTTCTTTGAAACAAGACAGTTATTTAGATTGCCAGCAATGCCTGTCTTACATATTTAAATACTTTCTTAAAATTGAAAATATAGATATTCGTCATTTGCGCTTATGAAGAATTTTATAAAACGACTCGCTTTTATCTGAATTCTGCAAAACATTTCTTTCGAAATTATTTAATATATTTTCCCAACGATAGTCTAGCATCCTGTGAGCAACATTTCGTTTCCCTCTGAATAACAAAAAAGTTCTGGGCGGCGTGGCTGGTATTCCAAATTCAGAAGCTAATTCTTTGAATACAGTCGGTAGATGAGACACAAAGCTGGCCATTCCGAGTGATACCAAAATGGGGAACATTAGTACACCTAGTGCGGTAAAGCCCAGCAAGCCCATCTGTCGAGGTTCTGCATCTGTGAGAACAGAGGTTACATCTGCCATTGAAGAGGATTCCGAGCTGAGGACTTCCTTAGGGTAGCTTTCTCCGAGGACAAAAAGCATCACTGCCGTCAAGAAAAGTATTAACAACAGATTCATTACGTGCACTGTAGAAATAAAATAAATACATGAAAAACTAATCAAAAAGTAAAGCTATTAGAAATAGTTAGCGTAAATAAATGTATTAAAAATATGAAGACAATATTTTTACAAATGCAGTTTCTTTAAATGGCAACAGCTTTTATGTTGCTTTTAATAAATCAGCAACTATGAGTAAATTATTTGCTTAAAAATACAAGAAATGTATTACAAGAAATGTCCAATTCGGATTGATTAATTTTTTTACATTAAACTTAATATTTTCTGTGATTTTTGAAAACAAAATGTCATTAAAAGCAATTCCAAACAGAATTTTTGAAAAACTTAAATGACCTAGCAGAAGGTAAGAAAGTTGGCATGAATACATAATGGAAAATGCAGTAAACATTTTCCCTGTCAAAGAAAAAATTCTTTGGCCACATGCTCGAAATCTTTCAAATCTGAGATTTGATATTTTATGCTATAGGACGCTTAAAATAAATAAACATCGACTTATATATATAAATATAATTTACATATATAGCGTCTTCAAACACAAAGTTATCAATAGCGTTTCGATCGAAGCACGGTTTGATCAAACGGATTGATCACAAAGTTTTCAATCCGTTTTATTCATAAAAATGGTTTTTAAATCATAAGAAATCTTGGAAGAGGGATGAAAACCACTTTTAGTTCAAATAAACGTTTTTACAGAAAGAGTTCTGAAGATACTTCCAACGTCCTTTTTTCTTTCGAAGATTGAGCAAGATATTTAGGTCCCAATATTTCGCTCAGTCCTCAGAACTACCTTGCTTTGCAAGAAGGACTTGGTAAGCGGAGCTTCTGGGGTCCAGCAGTGCTAGACATTGAACGTATAATTGAATCGGAAGATGCTAAAAGTAGGTTAGGTGACAAAAGTCAAATTTTACTGGAGCAACAAAAAATTCTCCCATTTCTCACACGAATGTCAGAAGTCAACAACAAAAAATTACGAGATCGTCGTAAGTAGAATTCATGTAATTCAGTGCTTTTTAAACGTCGTCTAATATTCTTGTGAGAAATGAGATATTGTTTTGCTGCTCCTGTAAAATTTGACTTTTGCCACATAGTCCCTTTTTTACATCTTCCGATTTAATTGAAGATAAACAACTGGTAAAAGTGGCCGTGAAAAGTAAAATTGTTCTTAAGCATTATTTAAAGGAGCAATGTTTTCCTCAATTTCAACTACACTGCAATGTAACAGGCTCAATTCAACTGGAACTCTTGCAGTTGAATGATGGGTGACTTCAGTGTAGCTAATGGCATTTACATTGTCCATTTTGGACATCTTTAGTCTATTTAAAACAATGTCTATTAAAACCCGCAAACACTGCATACAAGGGAATCTGAATTTTAAACGTCCAAAGGGCTTATAAGGTATTTCTCCCACCTTCTTGGAGTGCCTTCGTAGTGTAGTGATTCTGCACGCTGGGCCGGTATTCCAGAGGTCCGTGGTTCGATTCCCAGGGGAAGGCGTTGCTAATTTTTCAATCTCTCTTGCTTCCAAAAAATCCTAATGTCTCTACAGTGGCGCTCGAACTAAAAGGGTTATGGGTGATGACTCTCCACACCCAGCATTTGGCGATTGGGTGCCCTGATCCCCGGTCGCCCTTTAAAAGATGGAGTATATAAGGTATTCTCCCACCTTCTTGGCGTGCCTTCGTGATGTAGTGGTTCTGTACGCTGGGCTGGTATTCCAGAGGTCCGTGGTTCGATTCCCGGCGAAGGCGTTGCTAATTTTTCACTCTGTCTTGCTTCCAAAAAATCCTAATGTCTCTACAGGCTATTGGTGTTTTTGATGTTCTTGAGAGAAAAGTGTGTCAAGAATCCGTTTGTAAGCTAAATATTAATTTAGCATTTAAGTAGATCTAACTAGTTTCAAAAATGATGCTCCTTGCAGAGCTTCAAATGATGTTTCTTGAAAAATAAGGTTAGATGTATCTATGGTCATCTTGCACAAAGATGAAAGTCACCCAAAGCTGTAACATACAGTTTACCTTGATAAGGTGAATCCTAATTCCTTCGCAAACGTCTAAAGCCAACTTTTGGGCTGTGCAGCACATATTACACCTTTCTTTTAAAGTAATATATGGTTATAAAGAGACGTATGGATGAACTTGTTACGTCTTGTGACACTTTATGAATATCATTTTATGGCATCTTACGAATATCATTAAAGTGTTCCTAACAGTAAAATTACTGTGTAATGGAAATTCACACCTTTGCATGTTGAGCCAGAAACTCGCCAAATTTCATTTGTCATATAGCTACTTAGAGCACTCAGTTTGGTAGATATGAAAGAAACTTTTAAGAAGCATTTGAATCCTCAAAAAATTCTAAAATAAGAAGTACTCGTATAATCATCTGGTGAATTTTATGTATGAAACTCAATATGCGGATTTTAGATCCCTTCGTTCTCTGAAACGCAAGTTTTAGTTCAGATAAACATCAGTCAAGTTAATTTGTATATGCATTAAAATAATTAGTGGTTCAATTATTTTTAAACGCAAAAGGCGTTTAAAAATAATTGAACCACTAATTATTTTTTTATTCATAGGCCTATCGTTTCAGCTCAAGAAATGAATAATATAAGGTAGGACTTTAGACTAAGGTATCTTTTGCTATGTTTTAGAAATAATTAGAATTTTTGGAGCAGGAAATATAGAGAAACCACTTTTATTATTGCCGGGACTGGAACTCTAGGGTTTTCAATTGCAATCTCTGGTGTGTTACGCCATACGCTATGAATCCGCAAAGTGGAAAAGGCGAAAATTCCGCTTATTCTCCCTCAGTCAAAGGACACCTGAGGAGTGATAAGGAAAGTTACCAAATCCATGATGATAAATTATCATGGTGATGAATCATCATCCACTACACTGTAGTCGGGAGCCACTTTTACAACCTTCTAGAATATTTGGAGAGAGAATGGTGTGCAAGCAGCTAGGTCCTCGCCGGACTCGAACTCCGTACATTTCAGTGTTAGCCGAAAGTGATACTAATTACACCACCAGAGCACGTACAGGGAAAGGAGATATTTTCTTATACTATGACATCTTTGCTCAAAACGTAAGAACTCTATTCTTTTTGCAGGTGCCATACAAGAAAAATTCCATGTGGAGTGGGGGATTGAAATTTCAGCTTTTGTACAAAATGGAGTTTGAAACTTATAGTTTTGTGTTGAAATGTCTTGAGGCAAGAGATAGTCTTTTCGAAATTTATATTAAAAATTTATATATTAAAAATATGTAGAGTAGCTGTCTTTAACACTACTTGTAAGTATAGTTTACAAAACTTTTGATTATTGATAACTCTGTGGTAATTCTGACACTACGAAAGCGGATCATTTGTTGTCTTATAATTAGGCTACGTTAAACGCTTTTTTAATTGGAATTTTTCTGTATGGCTGGTAGTTAAATTCCATATTCGTACCAATATATCATGTGACCAAAATTATCGCAATCTTAATCACTACCTTATTTTATTTATTTATTAAACTGTAACTACGGGTTCACGAATTGCAACTTAAACACGGGATTGGAACTGGCACGCGGGACTTCAACACAGAACTGGAAATACGAGCGCTCATGAGGTGTTTAATCGGGTAATCCTTTTGAAGCATTTTATACCCGTATGATTACTTACAAAAGTATCATTACTTATCAAGAGTTTCAGCACGGAATGTGAAATACCTTCTATGAAATTTTCTCTAATTAAAAGGTACTGTTAATGAAATTAGAGACTTCTAAAGGTGTTATTACAATCCTATTGCAAGTGAGAATCTAAAGCTATGGCATATGTCTAACCGTGCAAAGGGAAAACGCTGCAAAGAATTTTCTAGGGGATAAACTCATACAATTTTTTTTTTATTTGCTTCTCCTTACCTCAAACTGCTGGATAGAGAACATGATTATATATTTTAGCCGAATATCTATGAAGACGTCTACTAAAAATAACACCGAACTGGAAATTGTTCATACTGCTTATACTGTGCTCATACTGTGTTAAGAGTACCGTGAAGGTTAGGTTTTCGAATCTGGAAATATAAAAAACAAGCTATTCTCTGTAGAGACATTAGGATTGTTTTGGAAGCAAGAGAGTTTGAAAAATTAGCAATCGCCTTCGCCGGGAATACCGGCCCAGCGTGCAGAACCACTACATCACGAAGGCACGCTAGGAAGGCGGGAGAAATACCTTAAAGCCCAATAGGGATTCTAACTCAGGACATCCCGATTGTTGGCCGGGCTGGTTCTAATTACACCGCGACAGCACGTGATGAGGAAGAAAGTTCCTTGCAGCATGTATTATGACTTTAAGAAAGTATAAGGGCTGAGAACTCGTTATCAGTTGGAATAGAAAATCATTTTGGAAGTTAATAAAAGACGGAAAGGCCCTTCGTATTGCGTAACACACATCCTTGTTTTCAAGACGAAAAAATACCGAGAGATCAATAACGCTACCGTTAATTGTGACTCTACTGAAATGATGAATAAATCTCAGTTCTTCTTTATCACCCAAATTTTGACAATTTTATTTATTCGAGGTTTTGAAGTTTTTCTCCCTTTTGAAGGACTGAAAAAGTATTTATGTCACAGTCATTTATACTTTTCAGTCCTTCTGAAGAAAGGAAGACTTTGAATAAAATGAAATAACCCAACTCTTCGAGATGAGGTAATAGTCTACGGAAAGCATAAATCGTTAAGTGAGCACCGAGGTATCACAACCGAGGGAGGAACTTCTAGAACGGACCAATGGGTTTCAAGTATTATTTTCTGTTGTGTCACGTGGCTTTTGCCGAGCTTAAAGCGAGATGTTTGGAAATGTTTTGCCACTGAATTTCCTGCTCAAAATAGTTAAAATACCGTGGATTTCATGTGGAAATTTCTAATACTGAATTTGATTAAATATAAGTAATTGTGAAAACATTAACTCTCTGGATTTGATACGAGGGTGCCTGAATTACTAGTCTTTAACACTCGTCCAAAAAATTTTT